AGTTAGTTTAAAGTGTGAACCTGGACTCTTTTGATAAGAAGCTTGCAACAATATGAAAGGTTGCAACTATTGTCAGAAGAAGAAATCGAAGTACTTAGAAGGAAAAGCAGTATCTTCTCCCTGGTCTTTAATTGAAAGTTTTAATGGTATCTGCTGATGATGGTTATTTTAAAATTGTCTTTTAGTGGAACTGGCATTAGATGCTGATGAACATTTTAAAACAGGGTTTTAATTGAAGTGCTGTCTGCTCTGGTAGGTATTTTAAAATTGAATTGAATTGAAATGAATTTTGATTAAGTTTTGATACTTAAAATGATATTAAAATTGTTTTACTGTTTTAATTCTGTAAGTTGTTATGGAAAGACTATGGTCTTGACAATTAGCTAAGATGCAGATTAAGAGATGGTAAAAGAGTAGCTATTAATCTGTAATAGCAACAATAAAAGGCTTATAGCACATTAAACAGCTTACAATTTTTTTGTGGCCAACATCTTTGAAAGATGAATTTATGGTAGCAGGAAAGCAGAGGAAAGAAGGGGTGAGAGGTAGACATGGATTCTTACAGAGAGCCACTAAGATCTTCCTAACTAAACTAACTTCAAATTCTAAACCATCATAGGTGAATCAACATGGACACCACATACTACACTTACAAACTGTAACAGTCCTAGTATCATCACCAGCATTCTTGGCCAGAAACTGGAGATCACTCTCCAAGGTAATGTTTATTGGGGCCCACCAACAATTTTGATGCCTGTCAAGACTTCTGCTCCACCGCACTGTTAAAAAAATGTTGACCAGCATCTATTTTAAACCCTAAATACTACAGAAAACCTTGGGCACTGCAATTTGAAAAAATCAAAGTGATGTTGAGTATGTTTACTCTGGAAAAGAGACAGCAGGTAGGCATGATAGCTGTCTTCAAGTATTGGAAGGACTGGCTTGTAGAAGACTGGGCATAGTTCAGAGTTGTTCCAGAAGTCTGGACAAGAAAGAATTTTAAGCTACAAGGAATCAGATTTTAGTTCAACACAGAAAACATTTCATAATTGTAAGAGCTCAGGAGATGGTGGATTCTTCTTTGACAGAGGTGTTTAAACAGAGGCTGGATGACCTTCTGTATGGAATGATGATGATTTAACAATGGATCCCTGCAGGGGGTTGGAGTAGATGTTCTCCAACTCCAACTACTGCCACAGGGAGCCCAGAGACAGTATCCTACCAAGCGTTCCCTTAATCCTGAGTCAAGTTGCAAAAGTGAAAATGTGAGCAGCCTGAAAGCAGATATAAGATTGCTTAAAAAAAATTGAGCAAGACTTTTTTCCCCGATTCTATTTTTATTAGCTACCATCCAGATGTATCTCTGAGGTTTTGATAAATATATTTTTAAAATCCCTGGTGGAAATAGCTGAATGTATTACTGCATGCAGACATACTAGAAACAAGAATAAAATTAGAACTTATTTCCTAGGGACATAGATTTGGAACAATTGTTTTTAAAGGAAACATGAATAGTGAGAGTCCTTCTCAGGACTGTGTTCTTAAAAATAATAGTAATAGTAATACTATTAATAATAAAAGCAAATACTTTCCCACAGTCAATACATTCTATTCTACTTCAGGTTTGGCATGGCTAAGTAACACTTTCAATGATAGACAACTTTGCAGCCTGCCTACAGCAAAAGCCCTACTTTAATTTGTATGCAAATACTTTACTATTGTTTACATACTAAAGGAGGGAAGACATATGGTCAGGATTTCATGTGCATGTGAGAGTACATACAAACCCACGCTCACAAATGAAAAGGCATTGAAAAAAGAGATACTGGGCACAATTAACGTGATACTAAAGTAGCAAATACCTTATTAATAAAAATATAAGACCAGTAGGCTATACCTGGCTTCCTACTAGCCAGCAATGAGAGCTGGGCTAGTGTACTGCAGTTCACATTCTTAAAAACTTATGAATAATGGAAAAAGAGATTCTCCTTAAGCTCAAGGTGATCAAACTGAGAGGCAGGGATACAGGTCATCTTAGGGGGGCAGGATAGAAGCAGACAGCTAATGAAGCAGATGGAATCTTCTCAGCTTGGCAAGAAGACATAATGAATGGGTTCACATTTTATTCTAAGCCATGGTTTGCTTACCTGTGATCTGTGGAATAAATCCCCACTAACTGGATTCACAAAACATGTTAAGCTATAAACCATAGTTTACAAACTACAACAACTGGCATCACACAGCACACAAAGCCAAATCCTAAGAAACCATATAATTGCATTATGTGATGTATGAAACATGCCCTTGTTTCTTGAACTTCTACTTCAAGTCCTTGTTGGTATGAATTGCACTGGGCATCCATGGTATCTTCTAGGATTTTTTAAACAGCAAGCACCCAAGATCACATGGTGCAGCCCTCTCCTTAGCCTCTAGCAAATGTTTCAAGGAGTACAGAGTGATGATGAAGCAGACCAAAGGCCCGTCTAGCCCAGAATTCAGTTTTCTATAGAGGTCAAACTAAGCCCGCCTTGTTGCTATCTATGGAAAAAAACACATTCAGAGAATTCCAATATTCAAACTTGATTTGAAAAAAGGGAGCTTAGGAGAACTGCTGCATTACATTTAGTAGTGTTTCTCTGTGTGCAAAATTTTAGGAAACAGAGTAGCTAAATTTTAAAATAGGACATTGGCCCTGTAGCTTGAATTGCTACATAGAAGAGGAAATGAAAAGTTTGTAGTATGTCAGGCACTGATGAGCAAAGCACTTTCTGTTGAAATTTCCACACAGGAATCCTTTCGTTTTCTGACTTAACAGAATCCTAATGCTAATATCTAAATCAGTGTTTCTCAACCTTGGCAACTTTAAGATGTGTGGATTTCCAGAATTCCCCAGCCAGCAATCAGAGACAGAAAGTAAAATAAGAGCTGAAGGAAGATTTGAGTTCCCAACATTTAAGGGCTGTTGCAGTACGACACATAGTTGCATATCTGGCGTTGCTTTCCATGTTGTAGTTTGGGAAATAAAGGCTAACTGTATTTCTTAAAATTAAGCCCAAAATGTAACTTATGCAAAGAATAAAATGGCTAGTTGAAGTAGGGTCAAGAGACTATTCATTTACAAAGCAATCTCTCTCTTTTATTTTCTATTCATTCCATTCATTTAACCGCTTTTGAATATGTTTATGCTCATGCTGAACTTACTAATTCATCTGAGTTCATACTTTTATGGATCCTTGCATCTGACACAGATGAAAGACCTGGCATGCAAAGAATGTGTGGAAAATTAAGATGTTTTCCATCTAAGTCACTACAGGAAACGGAGTTCAAGAATAGCAGGATTAATTAATTTATTTATCCCAGTTTAAAGCACTAGAAAGTTGGTATGTGGTTTTGGTAAGGGTATGTGTGTAATACAGTGGAGAAAGAAGAACAGAGTCTTGCTATTGGTAGTGTTGTCCTTAATTAGTATGTTCTCATAGAATCACACCTCCTGCCTGCCTGCCTGCCTCATTTTTAATGTAAATTAACATGTTATTTCAAGGTTGAATGGAAAAATATGACAGTCAAACCAGAAAAAAACCTGAGACTTGATTGTTGGAACTGATAATCAGAATACTTCTTTTACCCACTTTACATTCCATTCATGCTATATATTAATAGCTTATAAATAAATAAAATGAAAGCTAGATTTTTGCTTTCTAACAAACTGGAAAAGAAGGTCAGGAAGGAGAGAAATTCTAAAAATTACAAAGGTTCTGTAGTTTGGAAGGAGTTTTGAGTTTCCACTTCATAATGAAGGCATGTTTATTTTAAATTCACCTATTCCAATTCTGGGAAAAAGGGAGAAATAACAGTCTGAGTTACTCAGCATCTATTCCATTAAGCACTACAAAAGGAATTATTTCACTCCTTGGTGGAGTATTATTATAGAGATACTCTTAACTAGGGTAAATTACACACTTAGCAACTGCATTCATGCAACATGCTAAGTTTGGAATGATAAGCTTGCTTAGTTTTTTGTGGCTTAATGTGTTGTGTGAACCCAGACCATGCAGTTACTTATGATTCAACACATTGTGCAAACTCAGATAATGGGTTATGTTAGTAATAATGCACTAGTATGTTGTGTGAACACTGCTGTTTTCTTCTGATAGACTTTCTGAAAACAAGTAGTGCATGAAACTAGGCCACGGGCTGTATGTGGCAAAAGAGCTATAAGCTGCCACTCCTTTTGTAAACATGCAGGAAACTATCATACATCCTTCAATATTTCCCCTGGCCCTCCCAATTCTTTAGTGACTCCAGGCTGTTCCTTGTGTAAAACCACTTAATCAGGCAATATGAGTCTACGGCTGGAAGATACAGGACATAAATAGACTGACACATATGTGCAGCCAGTATCCACTTTGCCATTGGCACAGAAAAGATGCAGCAGAGGTTTTGATCACCACAATAAAGAGTTTTTTCTGGAACCAGGCTTCCTGCCCCACCCATGGAGAGTAAAGTTTGCAATTTCTACGGCCCTGAGGCTTACATGAATAGTACCACTGAGAAGTCTTCCAAACACATCTACTGAAGGAAGCATTTCTTACAATTAGTGTTAATTACAGCTTGACTACCTGCATTACGGTATCTCTCTCCTAGCTTCCTGCTGGCTACTATTTAAGCATGTTTCCATCATTACCACTATACCTCCTTTGCTTCTTACATACAGAAACCTGGGAAACTAACCCTAGGTTCTAGAAACTTGGCTCTTAGAATGTCTAAATATAGCAGTTATAAGTAGAAATGTTTAGTTCTGGTAAACGCAGTGATTCTCAGAGGATCACTTTTTATGCACAACAACATAAAGAGATGATAGCAAATTTTGCAGATAGTTTGAATATATATTAAGCAAATGCAAGAAATCCATCTAAGTGCCTTTGATCACACCCTCTAGAAAGGCCACTTTGTAATAACAGAAATAAAAAGTGCTCACAGAAATGTCAAATCTTTCTTACCAACAATCATATGGTTGCAGATATCACAGAAAGTGGGCTTTTTGAAGATGTGTTCCTGGAAAATGTGAGTCTTGTTGTCTTCTGGTTGGAGATGGGTTTTGGTTGGAGTAGAGTGTTGACTTTCAGAATTAGGGAGCTGCCCTGTTCTAGAGCTGATTTCCGATAGCAAATCTACTTGCAACTTCATGTCACTATTTGTCCGTTGAAAAAAGTTGTCTGCGCTTTTACTCCGCAAACTTTTGGTCTTGAAAGAAAGCGATCGCTTCAATTTCTGGAGCTGCAAATAAATTAACAATAACATTTTTTTCCCCAAAAGGCAGAATTCAGAATACATGGCATGTAACCATAATATGCAATTCCCGTTAACGCTTATTGTTAATGTTCAGGCAATTTCAAATAATTGGAATTTTAATACAGTCCAGGCACATTCAGCAACTACTCCAAACCCACGGTAGGGCCAATCTTGCTTATTTATTTATTTTTTAAATAGGAGCTTTCAGACGTCACAAGATGTTAACGCAGGCTGGGTGAAAGAAATTAAAGTCAATCGGAGAACCCTATACACTTTCTGATTCAATTCTAGACCAATATGCTATTTATACAATTATATATCAGCATCTCATTTATATTAGTCCACATATTTGCTTTGTCTAGTGGCATATAATCAGGCAGACCTGGCTCCAAGTTCTGAAGGGCCTTGGCATGTTAATCTCATTGGCTTCCACACTTACTTGATATGGGAAAAGGGGCTGCCTGCTTGCCTATGGCTAATGGTGGGGTGGCAGCATGAGCTCTGCTGTAGTTCCAGCTGTGCTGAAACTCTGAAGGTACCCAGCCTCCTTCCCCCAGGCTTGTTTACTCTTGCTTGGGCCTGCTGCCAATTCAAACACTTGGCCTCAAAGCAGGCAGGAGCTGGGGGGAGGAACACCGGGGGAAACTAGCCACGGAGGTAGTAGAACACTCAGCCTAGCAATGGGGAAGAGGGCACAAGAGGGGGCTTCTCATTTGTTGTGGGGCAAAAAAGGAGGCCAGTAAGACTACTGGCAAGGTTAGAGGGCATCAATCTTGCCTAGTCTAGGTCACTCACAGAGAAATATGTATTTGAGGCTTCCCTATTTCAAATCCTATTTTGTTCCAGTAAAGTCTGCAATGGTCACTTGCACACTTGCCTCAAACTCAAGCACCTAACTAGTGCACAGACTGTGGAGGCTTGTGAGCTATACTCAACCTTTGGATGGCATGCTGGGGACTGCACTCCAAAACCGAGTGGGACCAAGGCAGGAAGGTCATCTGATTTAATTAAACTGAAATTTAATTCAAATTAAGGTAATTAAATACAGTTACTGCATTTACTCCCCATGTAACCATCCCCCTTCAACATGTATGAGAACATTCTGTGTCCGAATTAGCCTGGTCAGTCATCTTCGGACACACCACATCTAGTCTGAACGTGATAAAACAACAAAAAATGGTCTTGAAGTCTTCATCAATGATGAGGGATGAACAACCACCATTCCCCTTCTATTGATTTAAATATTACAATTGTTGGCAACTTTTGGAAGAGCTTTGAAGAACCAAAAGGCTGCATCCAGACCTGAAGATTCAGGGTTGCACCTATAAACTAGAGGCTATAATGAAACTTCTATACAGCTCCCTCCCTGCTAACTCAGTGCTACTGCTTGGCTAACCCCTTCCACTCCCCCAGTTCCAGCTAACTGTCACAATGTGCAGGTAGACTTTTCACAAATAAATTATGTTTAAGTTGAATGAGGCATTACTGTACTTTCTGAGCTTCTCTGGTGTCCCATTATGTTTTCCAAGAACATGCAGAGTTTGTCTGCGGCAACCAGGGTCTATTGTTTATACTGGATTACAAAATATTTATAGAGTACGAGGTAGCAATTGGAACTGATCATAGCCATGAATGTACGGGAGTGAGAACATATTCTTTGGAAAAAACAGCTGAAGAACTGTTGGCCTTCCTAATAACAGATTTAACATAGTTGTCTTTGAACGTCTGCTAAGTCCTTTCCTTTTCCCTCCTCTCACATTTGATTTGAAATGCACCTCTGTATGCGTTTCTCTTTTGTTTTCTGTTTTTAATGTGTTTAGTGCTGTAGAATCGAATTTCTTTGCTCCATTTGCAGAGGTCCCAGTTCAGACTTACAGTAGTGTTTGATTTGCAGCTCTTTACAGTAACTGTGATTAGATTGTTTTGTATCTTCAGATAAGTAGTATAGTACTAAAACAACTGCAGAAACAAGGGAAAATACTGAAAGTATTTGGACTTTTTGCAGAAAACAGAAAAAAATAAAATTATGATATATGGATTTGAAGATTAGTACAATTAATAGATTATAGAAAAAATGGATTTGAAGTTGAAATCTTAGAGTAAGAGCTTAATGTGTGTCTTACTTATATCTGCTATAAAAGAAGTCGGAGGTCATTCTTTTTTTGTATTTGTTTTTTTTCTTTTTCTTTACTTTTCTGCACTTTGCTTTCGTTCTTTCTCTTTATTCTTCTCTTTCTTGATTATTAGTTTCTGTTAGTTTTTACCTTTTTAAAATTTATTTTATCTTTTTAAAAATTTAATAAAGTTATTACAAAAATATATTTAGTCTTGGCTTAGAGTTTAATAGTGTTTTTAGTCTATTAAAGTGATATAATACATTCAATTACTTGTAACTAATTATGGTAGACTAGAAAATTATAACCTCCATGACATTTCCAAATCTCTTGTTTGTTCATTCGTATTATACTTTCATCCCTCTTGACTTCTTTTTGCTTGTTTAAGTATTTTCTTTACTGTTCAATAAAAATACAAAAAAGTCCAGTTTTGTATGTAACCTTCTCCAACAGTTGTTTTTAATACTGTCACCCCTAATATACACTCTTGTTTCTGTACACATCTTTCCTAAAAGGTTTGCATCAAGAAAAGCAGACATTATCAAACTCCAGTTTTATTGCTATTCTTGTTGCAGTGGCATCTATGTTGACAGTACTGATGACCTTGCCATTTTCTTCTTAAAAAGACCTGTAGTTCAGCAAGGAATGGATTTCTAGAAACTGTTGTTCATACTGTGTCACACTTCACGTTGATTCTCTATCTTAGCCCATAAGCTCCCAAAAGGAATTCTTAAGGTCTCTTGTAACAACAAAAGAAACTGGAAATCATACAATTAATTTTTGAAGTGGGAATGAAATATACTGTTGATAACTTGATTTATAAGAGCTAAAATTTAATTTTGGGATTTTTAACTTCCTATAACATTGAGAATGAAGTGCACATCTGAGTCCCCACCCCAAGTCTCTCCTGCTCACAGACTTGCAGTGAACCTTATCCCTACTTTCAGCGGGACTGCCAAGCTCAGTTAACTAATCACCTGCCTACACTGAAATTGTTCTTGCAGAAATTAAGACTAATTATCTCCTCCCTCCTCCAAAACAGAACTGCAGTAGACAATGTGACTATAATGACATTCATTATTGATTTGTCATCCATGCCCACCAAACCACAGAAGGTTAATTAAATGGTAAATATTATTCTTCTCAGACTTTGAAGCAGGACAAAATGTACAACAAAGTTTTTTTTATATAAATAACTCTCTTGGTGGCTCAGCAACAGGCCTGGGAAAGCTAATTTGACATAATAATATAAATTTGGTTTTAGACATAATTTGCCAGTGATTCAACAGAAACCAATTGTCCAAAGATACAGAAAGAGTAGGTTCTATGTGTGAAATGTGTCAGGGTTAACGGCATAGCTTTTAATCACAGACTAAAAGTAGCAATCAATGCCATTGAGAAGCAGCAATTTCCCATTATTTTAGGCCATGGGTGCATATATTTTTCATGCTGTGGGCCATGTCTAGCTTTTGATGGCACACTGGGGCTGCATTCTAAAAAACAGGAAGAACCAGGTTGAAAACTAAAATATAGTTTTAGTAATTTTTGTAATTACTATGTTTAAGTAATTACATTTTAATTACACTATAGTGATAATTTCCTTATATCAGTATAGCATAATTAAAATGTAATTACTTAAACATGGTTTATATGATTCTTCTTGCATTCTGCTCTTCTGCCATTTTAGACATTACCATTTCGAGACAACTTTCAGGGGCCACAAAATCCTGGAGCTGCGGGTCATAAATATTTTAGACTCCCATGGCAATTATGCTGCAAACAGAACAGAAAGCATACATGTCACATGCTTCCATGCTCTCTTTTGTCTTACACTGAATTTCTGCATCGTTTTCCTATTCTTGATGATGATGAAACTGTTAATGCAGGGACAGTTCTCACATAACTTGGGCAGAGAGATGTGACCTGCGGGAAAATAAATCTCAGTATTTGCCTGCTTCTTCTTCCTTCTTTATGCAACATCATATCCCAAATTACCTGGCTATGTTGGAGTGGAGGGATGGGGGAGAGGTTTCCTAAGGTTCTCAGATAGCTCCTGTTGGAGATCATTTCCTGAATCAGAATTCTGGTGAAATGCTCATTGCTCTTTTCTTTCTTCTATCATTATGGCAGAAGAAAGAAAAGAGCAATGAGCATTTCACCAGAATTCTGATTCAAGAAAATATTTTCAACAGGAAACTGAAATTTCTGTAAAAGGTACAGGTTCAACCTGGCAATTTCTGTAAAAGGTACAGGCCCAACCTTGCATCTTGTAACAGGAACTTGCATATGGGTAGGATAGGGAGTGCCCATCTGGAAGGCACCAATTTGGAGAAAGCTGATCTACAACTTGAATAATATTTTATTTAAGTATTCTAAACACTCTGGGAAGCAGTAGTCCCAAAATATCTGGACAAACTAGTTTAGGAAAGGTTGAATCATGTTTTTCAAAAACTTTGGTACTTTTGCTAAGAAGGAAAAACCAACAGCGTACTATTCTACTCCCATTGATGCAAACTACTAACCAGCAAAAGCATTCCTACCTTGCATCTAGTGACCTATGATGTGAAGAACACTTCAGATTCTTCTTCTTTTACACACTGACATCAGTTGCCCAACATGGCAGGAATGATATATTTAGTATCCAAATTCCTCAGGCAAACTGTATGGTAGTGTGAAAGGGAAAACTGCGTAATTATCTCAGTTCAGCAGAGGTGACTGACCAATTTGGGAGAACAAGGAAAATTATTTTTCACTTGGCCAAGCTATTTACCTTTCTAGTATGCGGTAAGCAAACCTGGTGTCCTCCAGAACCTTTGATTAACTGCGGCAATCTCCAGCTAACATGGCTAATGACTAAAGATTATGGAAGCC